TTGACTATGGGTGCAGAAATTTGAAGTTTTTATTGGTGCTGGAGGCTCCACTTCCAAGGTGGCTCACTTGCATGATTGGCAGCTGAGTGCTAACTGTTGGGGAAAAGCCTGTTTCTCACCACAGGGATTGTCCATAGGGCTGTTAGAATATCCTCAATGACGTGGCAGCTGGCTTTCCACAGTGTGAGTAATCCCAGAGAAAGCAAGGCAGAAATCACAATGTCTTTTATGTTCAAGACTCAGAAGTCACAGACTATCATTTCTGCCGTGTCCTACTGGTCACAGGTCGGCCCTATTCATTGTGGGAGGGGACAGTATAAGAATGTCAATACGAGGGAGCAAGGATCATTGGGGGCCACCTTAGAGGCTGTCTGCCACAACCAGGGAAAATGTTTTGTTTAGTTTTCAGCCTTCCCTATCACATATATTCCTAGAGATTAAAAATAGGAAAGCCCTAGCTGGTTTGGCTCAGTGGATAGAGTGCCAGCCTGGACTGAGGGGTCCCGGGTTCAATTCTGGTCAAGGGCACATGCCTGGGTTGCGGGCTCGATCCCCAGTGTGTGGCGTGTGAAGGCAGCCAATCAGTGATTCTCTCTCATCACTGATGTTTCTATCTCTCTCTCCTTCTTCCTTCCTCTCTGAAATCAATAAAAATATATTTTTTTAAAATGGGAAAGACAACAAGGTTACTTGGTCTAAATATTCAGCTCATTTAATCACTTTTTAATAAAGCACTTAAAAGCCTTGTCTCATTTTTATATATATACACACACATATACATACATATATATATATTATTGATTTTTTACAGAGAGGAAGGGAGAGGGATAGAGAGTTAGAAACATCGATGAGAGAGAAACATTGAACAGCTGCCTCCTGCACACCCCCTACTGGGGATGTGCCTGCAACCAAGGTACATGCCCTTGACTGGAATCGAACCTGGGACCCTTCAGTCCACAGGCCGACGCTCTATCGGTCAGGGCAAGCCTTGTCTCATTTACATTAGAGTCTCAATATCTGAAAAAGATAAACTTTTTGAGAGTAAGAACCCTGCCTTATACTTGATCAATTTTTATAAACTTGACAAAATCCAATTTGCCATAGGTATTTGAAAATAAACTCTTTGGGAAATATATAGCCCCTTTTGTTTGCTATTCCTGTGCTTTGAAAGCTCCAGCTTATAAGATTGGCTGACTTTAGATTCTAGAAGTCAGTTGCATGGTGAATATTTCCCTTCAGGCTTAGGTCGAATTTAGAATCCTAGTAGGAACCAGATGGGATACACAAAACAGGAAATATTGCCAGTGCCCTAGTTTAATGATGTTAGCAAATGGGGGCACATTTGGCATAAGGAATACTTGTAAGCAGAGAGGCAAAGTGTTAAAGAAGGTGGAGATCACAGTCTTTGGCGTTACACTCCAAGCAGCACCACTGTATCTTTTTTCATTCTGTGGATTGTGCTTTCACTTCCTTTTTTTAAAAAAATATATTTTATTGATTTTTCACAGAGAGGAAGAGAGAGGGATAGAGAGTTAGAAACATCGATGAGAGAGAAACATCAATCAGCTGCCTCTTGCACACCTCCTACTGGGGATGTGCCCGCAACCAAGGTACATGCCCTTGGCCGGAATCGAACCTGGGACCTTTCAGTCCGCAGGCCGACGTTCTATCCGGTCAGGGCGCTTTCACTTTCTTGATGATATTCCTGGAAGCACAAACGCTTTTAATTTTAATCAAGTTCCATTTATCTATTCTATGATTACTTGTGCTTTATTTAGATGTTCTATTTCTTTGCCAGTGAGTTTTGGTAGTTTGTGTCATTCTTTTGTTCTAGGATTTGACCATTTCATCTAGGTAATCTAATTTGTTGGTATACAATTGATCTTAAAATCTTTCTGTCTGTAAGATCTGTAGTACTCCTTTGGTTTTTTTAAGGCTAGTAACAGACTATTTGTAATTCTCTGAATAGTTTGTGTTGTTTTGCATTTTCACATAGTATTCCCTCTGCCTGAAATACCATTTTCTATCAGGACTGTCAGCTTGAACATATCTCTTCATGAAGCCTTCCATGCTTGCTTCAGACAGATTGGTGCTCCAACCTCTGTGTTCCCATTAATTACACTGTATACACTCCTCCATTTAAGAACTTACCTTCATGATTATAATTTTACTCACTAAACTGAATTCTTAAAATAATTCAACCCATATTTATTGCATGTGTATTTTGTTTCCGTACTTTGTTCAGCTCTGGGGATAGAATGGTGAGACAGACAGGCATGGTCTCCACTGATTTCTGATCTCATGGACCTTACAATCTCGTGGGATGACAGAAAAAATAAAGTAATTATGATTATGAAAGGTCATATGAATGAAACAAAGGGCTCATACAGAGAACCACATGAGAACCTCTTTAAAAAGGTGGTCAGGGAAGGCCTGCCTCTATGACTAGGTGATATTTGAACTGAGTCCAAAAAAGATGAGAATGGCACAGCTGTGGCACAGTAGTAAGAAGAGCATTCTAGGCAGAGAGAAGAGTATGTGTGAAAGGTCAGGTGGGAAAACACTTGTTGGTTCAAAGAACAGAAGGAAGACTGGCATGGCTGGTGCATAGTGAGAGAGGGAGGGAATGTGTGAGGATGAGGCAGGGGCCCAATTGTGGGCACAGTTGCTGCGTAGTAGGCCATGGTAAGGAGTTTGGATTTTATTCTAGGTGTCTTGGGAAGCCACTCTTGACTACTTAGAGAATGATTTGGGGTGAGACAGTAGTAGAAGCAGATTCTAGAACAGGGGTGGGCAAACTTTTTGACTCGAGGGCCACAATGGGTTCTTAAACTGGACCGGAGGGCCGGACCAAAAGCATGGATGGAGTGTTTGTGTGAACTAATATAAATTCAAAGTAAACATCATTACATAAAAGGGTACGGTCTTTTTTTTTTTTTTTTAGTTTTATTCATTTCAAACGGGCCCGATCCGGCCCCCAGGTGTAGTTTGCCCACGGCTGTTCTAGAATAAACATTCAGAATTATTTTACATATGAATTTGGAATGGGAAAGGCCCCCCTCTCTCTCTCTCTCTCTCTCTCTCACTATTTATTTGGTCACACAAACATCTAAAATTTCTATGTGGGGGGAAAAGTCAGAGAGAAATGTAAAACTGGGGAAGAAATATTTGCAAGGGCCCTTAACATTTGCAAGTCCCTTAGTATATAATAAAAAGACGACTCAATAGACAAAGGGTAGAGACTGACAGTTCACCCCCCCCATACAAATGCCTATTAAATATATGAAAAGATGCCTAGCTTCACTCTTTTAAAAAAAAAGAACTACAATTTATGAGATCACATTTTTCACATGCCAGATTGGCAGTGTACTTTAATAGCATACTGTGTTGGTGAGACTGTAGGGAAACAGGAACTCTCACATGGGTGGTGGGAGTGTAAATTGGTTCAACTTCTCTAGAGAGTAATTTGGCAGCGTCTATCAGAATTTTAAGTGGATACACTTCTAGGAATTTATCCAAGTAAAAGACATTTTGGTTCATCCATACAAAGGCATACAGACCTTGTAAAGAATGAAGCATCTCTTTATCAATGATGGGGAAGGATCATAATATACTTTTTATATGCTTTTATTGATTTTAGAGAGGGAGAGGGATAGAAACATTGATGAGAAACATCATCTATTGGCTGCTTCCTGCATGCCCCCAACTGGGGATCAAGCCCACAACCCGGGTATGTGCCCTGACGGGGAATCAAACTGGTGACTTCTAGGTTCATGGGTCGACGCTCAACCACTGAGCCATGCCAGCCAGGCTGGGCAACATTTTTAAGTCAATAAAGTGGTAGAGAACAGTTTAAAATATGCTACACTTGTTTAAAAAGGCAAAGAAAAAATGTATTTTCTCTATGTACAAATAAGGATTCCTTGCTTGTATCATCTACTATCTCTGGGAGGAGCAGAAAAAAACCAGAAACAGTATTTGCCTCTGGGAAAGAAAACTGTGAGTGGAGGATGGGTGGAGAGGATATTTACTTCTCATTTTATTCTCTGTATATACCATGTGTACATGTTGCCTATTAAAAATTTGAAACAAAGGGAGGGGAAGTGAGGAGACCAGTCAGGAAGCTGTGACCGTAGTCCAGGCAAGAGATACCAGTGGTCTGGCCTAAGATGGTGGTAGGAAGGTGGAGAAGAGCAGACAGGTTTAAGTTTTTTTATTTTTATTTTATTATTTTTAATATATTTTTATTGATTTCAGAGAGGAAGGGAGAGGGAGAGAGGTAGAAACATCAGTGATGAGAGAGAATCATTAATCAGCTGCCTCCTGCATGCCCCACACTGGGGATGGAGCTTGCAACCTGGGCATGTGCCCTGACCAGGAATTGAACTGTGACCTCCTGGTTCCTAGGTCGATGCTCAACCACTGAGCCGTGCCGTCTGGGGTAAGATTTTTTTAGATAAAATGCACAGGATTTGCTGATGCAGAGGTGTGGGAGATGAGGGGAAGCAAAGAATCAAGGATGAGTCCCAAGTTTCTGTTAAGTAACGGTGGGTGGAAGAATTGGTTATCTAGGGTTCTTGAGCCCGATGGCCTGGGCTTGAATTCAACCTATTCTGCTTTCTAACTCTATGACCTTGGGCAAATTATGTAATTACTTTGAATTTAGGAGCCCTCATGTGTAAAATGGGAATGATAATATGACCTACCTCACAGGTTTGTTGTAAGGATTAAATGAGTTAACACATGTACACTTTAGAGCAGCTGCCTGGCACATAGTAAAAGCTATACAAGTAGTTACCTCTATTGTTGTTCTTATTACTGCCACTAAGTTGCTGCTATGACTATAACTGCTCCTCTTCTTCTTCTGTCAGGGAAATGCCTGGCTCCTATCAGTAAATATTTGTGGAAGGAAGGAATGCTTTAAAATCAACACTTGTTTCATAACCAGTTGATCTATGAAATGAAAAAAATTTAAAGATAGTTTATCGATTTTTAAATAGAGGAAGGGAAGGGAGAGAGAGAAACATTGATGTGAGAGCACAACATCGGCCACCACTGGGGACCAAGTCCACAACCCGGGCATTTGCCCTTGACTGGGAATTGAACGAGCAACCTCCCGGTACATGGAATGACGTCCAACCACCTGAACCATACTGGTCAGTGCGAAATGGAAAAATTTGAAAGGCCCTTTTAGCATTTGAAGAAATGAGATAGTGACGTTGGTAGGTTATGAGATTTGTTCATATCTTTCTTCTTTGACTTGTGTTTTTTTGTGTAGGCCTGAAGGCATTGAACGACAGTACAGGAAGAAGTGTGCAAAGTAAGTATTAACAGTGTGGATTTCTCTGAGCTTAAGCAAGTAGTGACAACAATGTGTTAGGACCAGAATTGTTTGGATCCAATTCTCTGTTGTATCTTTATCCTTATAATCTCTACACAAATAACAATATGCTTCTCAAAGAGACCAGTCAGAGTTACATCTTTGACCAGCAGGCCACAAAAATAAGTTTTTTGTTTTTTTAAAAATATATATTTTATTGATTTTTTACAGAGAGGAAGGGAGAGGGATAGATAGTTAGAAACATCGATGAGAGAGAAACATCGATCAGCTGCCTCCTGCACACCCCCTACTGGGGATGTGCCCGCAACCAAGGTACATGCCCTTGACTGGAATCGAACCTGGAACCTTTCAGTCCGCAGGCTGACACTCTAGCCACTGAGCCAAACGGTTAGGGCTAAAATAAGTTTTTTTAACATGATATAATTTTTTTAAGTTGAGGTGTAATTTATATATAATAAAATTTGCCCTTTCAAGTGTACCATTTGACAGAAGCATGCAATCATGTAATGCCACCACTATCATGATACAGAACAGTCCCAGGACCCCATGTTCCCTTTGCAGTTAGTCCCCTTCCTCACCCCTCTCCCTGGGCAGTCACCAATCTGCCTTCTATTACTGTGGTTTTCGCCTTTTCTAAAAGTTTATGTAATTTCTACAATATATGTTTTACTGTATACAATCTGTATCTTTTATATCTGGTTTCTTTCATGAAGCATAATGCTTTTGGGATTCATCCAAATTGTTATGTATACCCGCAGTCTGTTCTTCTTTATTGCTGAGTAGTAGTCCTTTGCACCAGCTTGTTTCACCATCCCTTTGTTGAAGGGCATTTGGGTTGTTAATGGTTTTGACTATTCCAAATAGAGGTGCTATGAACATTCTAGTATAAATCTTGGTGGGAACATGTGTTTTTCTCTTGAAGTGGTTTTGCTGGGTCATATGGTAAATGTAACAGAGTAATTTAATCCAGGCCCATTTATAAAGCATGCTATAGGACCCCAGACCTCAGAAGTTTATTTAATACAATATAAATATATATATTTCCAGCTTTAGATTAATAGAACATTAAACAATAGTAAGTTTAATCTTGTTTCAGTAATCACAGGCATTTGTGAGCCGATCACTGCAGTGGAGCCTTTACACACTCTCTTGACACTGCAAAAACAAAACAAAACAAAACTAGACAAACCCCCAAACTAGTTACCCAGACACCAGGGAAGAATAGCAGCAGTTTTGGCTGGAAAGTAATCAGTAGCAGGAGCCAGGGTTCACCAGACTTGTCTGATGATAAGAATCGCTTGGGCCCTGACCGGTTTGGCTCAGTGGATAGAGCGTCGGCCTGCGGACTCAAGGGTCCCGGGTTCGATTCCAGTCAAGGGCATGTACCTCGGTTGCGGGCACATCCCCAGTGGGGGATGTGCAGGAGGCAGCTGATAGATGTTTCTCTCTCATCAATGTTTCTAACTCTCTATCCCTCTCCCTTCCTCTCTGTAAAAAATCAATAAAATATATTTAAAAAAAAAAGAATCGCTTGGGATGCTGAGGAAAATTACAGATTCCAAGGCCACAACCCCGAGATTTGCTAAATCAGGATCTTCTGGGGACTGGGGGGGCGGGGTAGGCATCTGATCAGCAATTTTAACAAGCACCCTTAGTGATTCTTAGTGAGTAGTTTTGGGAAACACTGGAAAGAGTGCACCATTAGTTTGTGCCACAAACAAAAAATATTCCTGAAATCTCAGCACACTTTGCAAATCGGATTCTGAGGTCTCTCAAAGACTCACTCTCCTGTTCCCAGGTGTGGACTGCCACTCTTCTACCAGTCCCAGCCAAAGAATGCTCCCGTGACCTTCATTGTGGATGGAGCAGTAGTCAAGTTTGGCCAGGGTTTTGGCAAAACGAATATATATACTCAGAAGCAAGAGCCTCCTAAGAAGGTAATTGTCATTGAAGGAGACAGAGTGGTTGATATAGCTATGGATTTTGCCGGGGCTGGGTGGCTCAGTTGGTTGGAGTGTCATCTCGTACACCAAAGGGTGGCGGGCTGGATTCCTGGTCAGGGCACTCCTGGCGTGCGGGTTCGGTCCCTGTTCGGGCCTGTATGGGAAGCAACCAATCAATGTTTCTCTTTCACATCAATGTTTCTCTCTCTCTCACCCTTCCTCTCTAACACAAAAACACAAACAAAAAAATCCTTGGGTGAGGGTTTGAAAAATAATTTTATATATATATATATATATATATATATATATATATATATATATATATATATATATTATATGGCAGTGGATTTAGCCCTAAATTTTAAATTAAGACTATAGTGTGCAAGAAATTATCCTTTATGAAAGCATTCTTTATTAAGAGAACGCCATTCTTGTGCATAATACTGTGTTCTTTTTTCTTTCCTACAGCTGCCCTATGAGTAAAATTAGAAATTATATCGTTTTTATTCACATTTATTTCCTTCCACATTTCTTCTTTTTCCAGTGAAAAAAATTACAAATGGACCGAATCAGGCTAATTTTTAAATATACTTTAAAAACCCTTGATGGAAAATGTTAGAAAAATGTAATGCAAATAAACACATTGGCACTTTTAGATAGGCCACCTTGTTTCAAAGAGGTGGGTGTCCAGCACCCAGATACATGTGCACCTGCATGCGCGCGCGCGCGTGCGCGCGCGCGCGCGCACGCACACACACACACACACACACACACACACACACACGGCTCACAGAGCCTCTTGCTGATCTACACTGATTTCTCTTCTGCTACTCCAGGTGATGATGACCAAACGGACTAAAGACATGGGCAAGTTCAGCTCTGTCACTGTGTCTACTATTGATGAAGAGGAAGAGGAGATTGAAGCTGTAAGTGCTTCTGTTCTCAAGGGAATTGGACGGGGGGTACGGAAGGAAAGGGGCTCTAGAACTACAGCATCCCAGTAGCAGAATAAGTAGAGTCTGCTCATAGACCTTGCTCTGCCAGTAAGCAACTGTGATGCCGGCTAGTTCTTGTGTCCCTGGATCCCCAGCACCATCTGTAAAATGAGAGCCAGGGAGTTGGAATAAATCAGTGATTTTTTTAAAAATATTGTGTTTTTGAGATGCCCTAGGGGGCAAATCCCTCATCCCTCTTCAGTTTAAATATTACAACGATTTCGGGTCCCTTCTAGTCCAGCTCTGATGGTTTCTGAGTCTGCCCTTAGCAGTAGCAGCAATTACCTTTATGGTACTTCAGTATAATGATGTTTACAGAGGGAGAGATGTTATCTATTATTTTTTAATCGTTTCAGTTGAAACCTGAACTCTTCTGGATTACTGAAGAGTTGAAATGGAACAGCCATACCATTTCAGTGATAATTTCATAATTTGAATGGTATAAATTGCTACTTAAGGCCTCTGTTGTTACTCATTGGTGTGACCGCTGCTTTAAGGATGCTTCTTTTTTCCCCTCAGCGGGAAGTTGCTGACTCGTATGCACAGAATGCCAAAGTGATTGAAAAACAGTTGGAGCGCAAAGGCATGAGCAAAAGGCGGCTGCAAGAGCTGGTGAGTGGCATGTAGCAGTAAGGTGCTAGGCTGGACTGTTTGGATCTCTTGGTTGGGAAGATCCTCTGGCAGTCAGGGAAATCTTTCAGGAAGTCTGTCAGGGGTTACTAGTGTAGCCGGCTGCCAAGTGTCTAACTCTGTCTGGGCTATGACTGTCGGTATGCCCTGCTCTGAGGTAGTGACCACAGGATCCAGGCTCTAAATGATAGTACCTGTTAGCTAGCCCTAAGTAGAATGATATATTACTCTGCTACTTGTGGTCCAAGGTCAGGAGTTAGATCGGGGTTTATGGATGCTTTCCCAGGATGTAATGGCACACGGTAGTGTTACATTGGTAGGACTGGGGTTGGGGCTGGTCATTGCTTCTTTAGTTTTTTAGGTTTTCACTAGAGGCCCGATGCACAAAATTCATGCAAGGGGCTCATTCCTCGCAGCCGCAGTGGCTTGCCTTAGTCCTCACAGCTGCGCTTGCCTCGGCCCTTGTAGCCCCAGCTTCGTCCGGAAGGTTGTCCGGCTGTACAGTCTAATTAGCATATTATGCTTTTATTATTATAAATTGATTTTTAGAGAGAGAATAAGGGAAAGAGAGATAGAAACGTTGATGAGAGAGAAACATCGATCGGCTGCCTCCTGCACACCCCCTGCTGGGGATCGAGTTGGCAACCTGGGCATGTGCCCTGACTGGGAATTGAACCAGCCACCTCTTGGTGCATGGGTTGAAGCTCAACCACTGAGCCATATTGGCCAGGCTGGTCATTACTTCTTAAAGCCTTGGTACCACCACCAGTTTCTGTATTATTCATGGCTCATCATAGAGCAAGCACACTTATATATGATGGTGTCTCCATTTTTTTTCTTTTTGATAATAATTTACTTACGATATTTCTTTAAAATCAGACAGCACTTCATTGGTGCCTCATTAAAAGTTATACCAATCTATCCTAATGACTGTAGAGGATTTTTTGGTGACAGAGGTGGGTAGGTCTTGGTAGCTGCTTTACCTTGCCATGTGGTTTAAAGCAGTACTTATCAACTTTTCCGAGGTGAAGGCCAGTGCTTTATCTTTTTTAAATTTCCAATTTGCAAGAACAGATTTATAATTTATAAAATGCAATAAAATAAGTTTGCCTCGGCTCTTATTAAATTTTTTCATTTTATTATTCTGTCAAATGGCGATAAAAGTTTCTAAATGCTTACTCAATTTTTGTACATATCTTGCATGGACCAATAACAGACAGTTCATGGACCACACAACATTAAGTAGCACTGTTCTAGAACAGTGTTCTTCTTTTGTTATGCCAAGAATAAGATACTAGTGAACCACGATATTGATTGATTTTCCTCGGCCCGTTGGGGGTCCTGGGGCTGGGAGATATCTTTACGTTGATTATCATTGACTGCAGCCTTGTGTATTTACCCCATTTTGTTATACAGATATAATTTTCTGTGTGTGCCATAGCAGTTGCTAGAGATTCATAAGGACGTTAGAACCACCATTCTAGTTTATATACTAAATGAGCATGGAGGGATAGTGTTTGGGCAGTTAGAATAAGGAAAGAAAAGAAGAATTTCATGTCATGTATCAGTACATATGCTTTTCTTTCTCTCCAGGCTGAACTGGAAGCCAAGAAAGCAAAAATGAAGGGGACTTTGATTGACAACCAGTTCAAATGATCAGGACCTTTCTCTGAACCCAGACTAGAAACAAGCATTTAGACCAGAAGGCAAAAATTTTTTTTTCCTTTTATTTAATTTATTGGGGTGATTCTGGTTTACAAAATTATATGGTCACCAACTGAAGTCAAGTCTCTGTCCATCACCATTGATCTCCCCTTTACCCTCCTCCACTTCCCCCCACCCTCCCTCCCCCTGGCAGTCACCACACTGTTGTCCGTGTCCACGTGTAAAAGAACTTTTTATTGACTGCATGGACTGGCTCCTACCTTTATGCGCCAGCAAAAGGCTTTATGTTGCTTCCTACATTCAGTGAAGTCTTTGAGTCCATCTGACCTGCTTTCTAGAAGTGAATTTTAAAAATCTTTCTATACTATTATATGTGTCTTCTGTACTATATTTGTCCATTTGATGTAACTTATGGTTTAGCGCCAGGTTCCCCACGAACGTGCGTTTCTTGAAGGGTGTGGGGGCGGCCCCCTTTCCGGCCGCCTTGTGTCGACATTTGATATAACTTATTTAGCTTGACAGAAACTATGAATAGATCAGTGTTTAAGTGTCTCTGGTTTCTAAAATAGTTGGTCTTTAATAAAACATTTAAAGATTTAGCCGAGACCGGTTTGGCTCAGTGGATGGAGCGTCGACCTGCGGACTGAGGGGTCCCGGGTTCGATTCCGGTCAAGGGCATGTACGTTGGTTGCGGGCACACCCCCAGTGGGAGATGTGCAGGAGGCAGCTGGTCGATGATTCTCTCTCATCGATGTTTCTGACTCTCTATCCCTCTCCCTTCCTCTCTGTAAAAAATCAATAAAATATATTAAAAAAAAACATTTAAAGATTTTTGGAAAAAACGTTGTGGTGTGTTATACAAAAAAGTGGCATGGATTAGATTTTAAAGTTACAGTAAGTCAGATCCTTGTAGGTTACTCTGTCTCTCTTCCTAGACTGGCAGGTGTCACTATGGCTTGAATGTCTCCTACTGGGAGGGAAAATCCATAAAACGCCAGAATCTGCATAAGGCTTCCTTTACTTCAAATATGAAAGCTAAAGTGAGCCGGTCCTTATCAGACTTTGTACTTAAAGAAGCAAAAGCCAGATTGGAGTGAGGGGGTAGGATAGGTGAGATCTGAATGAAAATGGAATCTCAATAACCAGCTCAGGGGAGCTACCATCCTGTCAAATAACTAAGAGTACTGCTTCTGTTTGTGGGTACCTGGGAGGGAGATATTATAGAGTAAGAAAGGATGCTGGCTATTTTATTTCACATTTGCTATTTGTGGAGGAGTCTTATAAATATTTAATGTTACATTGCTTCAGTGATATCAATATGTAGTGCTTGTATCCATATTTTCATCTGTTCATCTGTATTAAAAAGTATCGCCTGCATCTAGTGACTCTTTACAACTGACGTCCTCTCCGCCTCATTTCCTGTCTTCATTTGGAGACATAATTAGGCATCATGTGGATAACCAACCATAACCTCCACACAATTCCTTGACCTCAACTCCAAATAACCTTTACCTTCACACCACTTGAGCCACAAACTACCATGATCACAGTCTGGGTGTCATCTATTCGGAAATCCAGTATTCTGTTCTCTGCCAACAACCTCCTATCATTGCTACTCTCGTACTCTCACTTTCACTAACCGTGTTTTGTTTTGTTTTTAGATTTGTAGGGTAATTTTGGTGATTGTTTTATTCATAGTAATAATAAAAAATAATAGTGATGATTATAATAATACTAACTACATTTTATTGACTACTTACTATGCATCAGGTACCATGGAAAGCACTTTATAAGTATTACCTAAATTTATTTATTTGTTTATGAATATATTTTTATTTCAGAGAGCAAGGGAGAGGGAGAGATAGAAACATCAGTGATGAGAGATAATTATTGATCGGCTGCCTCCTGCATGACCCCCCACCAGGGATCGAGCCAGCAACCCGAGGATGTGCCCTGACTGGTAATTGAACCATGACCTCAACCATAGGTCAACGCTCAACCACTGAGCCATACTGGTGGGCAATATTTGGTCTCAGAGACTGGCTTTTACTTACCATAATCTTTGCAGCGTTCATTCCTATTGAAGAATATTTCAACACTCCACTCCTTTTTATGTCAAATAATATTCCACTATATGGGCAAACCAGGTATAACCTTAATTTGAAGATAATCTCGTGAGAGAGGTTTAACTACAGTAGCCTTCCGCCTTATCCAGGGGTATATATCCCAAGACCCCCAGTGGATGTCTGAACCTTATATATACTATGTTTTTTTTCCTATGCATACATATACTTTATAGCTTCTCTTTGGCATATGTGAGTTGCCAGCATTACTACTCTTGTGCTTTGAGGCCATTATTAAGTTAAATAAGGGTTACTTTTACATGAGCACTGTGATACCTTGACAGTCGATGTGATAACTGAGACGGCTACTAAGAGACTGATGGGTGGGGAGTATATACAGTATGGATGTACAAAGGGATGGCTCACGTCCCAGGTATGAAATTTTAGCACCACATACAATTTAAAACTTATTTTCCATTTAATATTTTCCGACCGTGGTTGACTATGGATAACTGAAACCATGGAAAGCAAAACCACAGATAAGGGTGTGTGTGTGGGGGGGGGGGCCTACTGTGCTATCTATCATTATAATGCTACAAATATGTACTCTGAGGCTCTGCAAGTTTCAGTTTCCCAAGTTCTCATAACCAGTGAGTGATGAAGCCAGAAATCTGACTATGCAACTACATTGAATCTCATGTGGGATTAAAAAAATTTATATATATATAACATATTACTGCCCGACTGGCGTGGCTCAGTGATTGGGCATCAACCTATGAACCAGAAGGTCACAGTTTGATTCCCGGTTAGGGCACATGCCAGGTTGTGGGCTCGATCCCTATTGGGGGGCATGCAGGAGGCAGCCAATCAGATTCTCTCTCTTCATTGATGTTTTTTTCTCTCTCTCCCTTCCTCTCTGAAATGTTGCTTCAGAAAATATTAACACACACACACACACACACACACACACACACACACACACACTACTGAGAACAGATCACAATTTCATTTTGAGAAACCAAGTAAAATGCAATGTAAAGAGAATTGCCTAGAGGATTTCCTGTAGTAAATGTGTGGTTACCTTTCTAATCTTAAACCGTTTCAACATCTGGTTCAAATTATGCATTTTGCTTCATCTTTAAGACTGCAAATTATTCCATCATTAGCACCAAACAAGAATGTGCTCCTCATTATCTTTTATTCCTTCACATTGAAATAGTTATTAAAATAACATGACATTTCTCTGTTGTCTTTATTTGTATTTTAGCAGCAATTACAGTGCTTTAATGTTAGTATAAAGAGGCATATTTAAATTTCAGAGTCTTATTCTATTTTTTGTTTTTAAATTATCAACTGTGTGCCCTGACTGGTTTGGCTCAGTGGATAGAGTGGTGGCCTGTGGACTGAAGGGTCCCGGGTTCGATTCCGGTCAAGGGCATGTGCCTTGGTTGCGGGCACATCCCCAGTGGGAAGTGTGCAGGAGGCAGCTGATTGGTGTTTCTCTCCCATTGATGTTTCTGACTCTCTATCCCTCTCCCTTCCTCTCTGTAAAAAAATCAATAAAATATATTTTAAAAAATTATCAACTGTGTTAAAATAGTAAAATGTTATAAAATGTTAATCCTGACATTTGGAAGTATAATTTTATTGTTTAAGAAAAATTGAGGAGCTTTTTAAAATATATATATTTTATTGATTTTTTACAGAGAGGAAGGGAGAGAGAGAGAGAGTTAGAAATATCGATGAGAGAGAAACATCGATCAGCTGCCTCCTACACACTCCCTACTGTGTATGTGCCCACAACGAAGGTACATGCTCTTGTCTGGAATTGAACCTGGGACCCTTGAGTCTGCAGGCCAACACTCTATCCACTGAGCCAAACCAGTTAGGGTGAGAAGCTTTTAATAAATTAGCTTATGTTGACCACTAGCTATGGACCCACCTCCCTTTCTCAAGAAAAAAATTTCCTTTTTTTATTTCTCTGATCTTTCATTCTGCTTCTTCACCTGACTACTCTTCATTTTCATTTCATTATAATGAAGCACACTCCACTGCACGTGAGCTTTTAATATTCTATATTCCTCAAGGAAAATAAAAGACATCACTTATGGTGAACTAAGCCTGTTTTCAACTTCATATAGAACCTTGATCCTCCTGTTTTTCCCAATATTTCCATTCCATCACCATCTCTTTTAACTCAGCCTGATCCTGTGATTAAAGATCTGAATTTTCCTCACCAGCACCTTTAACTCCTCTTTAAAAAAATTTTTATTGATTTTAAAGAGGAAGGGATAGGGAGAGAGAGATAGGAACATCAATGATGAGAGAGAATCATTGATTGCCTGCCTCCTGCATGCCCCACACTGGGGATTGAGCCCGCAACCTGGGCATATGCCCTGATCAGGAATTGAACTATGACTTCCTGGTTCATAGGTCAATGCTCAACCACTGAGCTACACTGACCAGGCACCTTAAACCCTTCTTGATTTTTTTTCACTTTTAAAAGTCTTTGAATAATTTTAGATTTACATAAAAGTTCCAAAGATAGTACAAGGAGTTCCTGTATACTCTTCACTGTAGTTATCCTAATATTAACATCTTATATAATGCTATGGGCTGAATTGTGCCCCTCCTTCAAAATTCATACATTGAAGCCTTAACCCCCGCTGTAATAGTATTTGGAGATGGGTCTTTGGGAGTTAATTAGGTTTAGATGTGGTCTCGAGAGAGGGATCCTTATAATGGGTTTAGAGTAGTGGTTCCCAACCTTTTTTTGGCCCTGCCCTACCTAAGCATCTCTCAAATACTGATGCCATCCCTGTGACATCTAATTTTTATTATTCAAAAAGGGAACTCCTATTCACGTGGAGGAAGCCTAAAAGGCCATTAACTTGGTCTAAACAAGCTGTCAAAAAACATGGCATCCATGAAAGAGAAAAATAAAAGAATGAAAGGACAGCTGAAGTACTGAGGAAGAAATCACTAAGTTGTTAAAAAATAATAATATGAAGTGATATGAAAAAATAGCAAATAAAATTTCAAAATACATAATAGAGAACTGTAATGCATAAATATGTCACAATATCTTCTCTCTATATATATAAAAAGCTAATATGCAAAGTTCTACCAGGAGAATGGGAGTTCGATAGCTCGCTATGACGTGTGCTGATCACCAGGGGGTGGCACGGAACATGGCGGGTGACCAGTGGTGGTGGGGCACTGAGGGAACGAGGGAAGGAGGAGGCAGGGAGGCGGGGAACCTGATCGGCCCTGATTGCTGGGCAGGCCTAGGGACCCTACCGGTGCATAAATTTGGTGCACCGGCCCTCTAGTATATTAATATACTGTCTATGAGGCTCCTAGAAACATAAGAAATGCAAAAAATTCACTATTAATAACTCATTCTTGAATGCCCCCCTTAAAAATCAAATTGCCCCCCTGTGGGGCATGTGCCCCACTTTGGGAACCACTGGTTTAGGGTCTTCATAAGAGGGCACTGCCTCTACATCTTACTGTCTCTTTGTTTCTGTCTATCT